ATCAGCGGGGATAATGTCATTAGTTTTATTATGAATTTCTGCTGCCGGTCTGGGTTCATTTATCTCTGAACTTGTTGAAGTATAAAATATTAGCCTGAGTAGCAAAATCTATTTTCTCGTTTTTATTATTTTGATTTTTGGCTATTTCCGCGAATGTTTTATTTAACTGGATGAGATTTTTTTTCTCTAAATATATTTTTTACCTCATAAAGTGATATTTTATTATTGATTTGTATGGCTTTTATTTCCTTTTGTATTTTGAACACGGTGCAGGAGCGATCTAGGGTGTTATGAGGGCCATTACAATTTATGCATCTAGCCAGCAAATTACACATTATATTTTCTCCATGTCTTTCCTTGCCACATTGTATGTTACCTGCACTAGCGGATTCAGCCGGGCACCACGCCCTCCTCCCCCTCTCCCATGAGAGCTGGGAAAAAAATCCAAAAAGCAGCTATTTCAAGAAACGAGAAATAGAGGGAAAATTCATCCTCATAGACGATGAATATCCTAATGTAATATAAACAAAATTACTATCGTGACCAGCATTAGCGAATTTGGTCACTCCCTTGTGGATGCTGAAAAAAAAATCTAAAAATACTGACAAAAACACCTATTTAAAGAAAAGAGAAATGTAGAGAAAATTCATCCTCATGCACGAATTTCCTAATGCAATATAAAAAAAAATTATTATCCTGACCAGCATTAGCGGATCCAGCCGGGGGGCGCGCCCCTCTCTCCCATGGATGGTGGGGGAAAAGTTTCGAAAAACAGCTATTTAAAGAAAAGATAAATATAGGAAAAATTCATCCTCATAGACGAATTTTTCCTCATAGACACCAGGGGGCGCGCCCCACTCTGGATGGTAGAAAAATAATTCCCAAAAAACTATCCAAAAAACAGCTGTTTAAAGAAAAGAGAAATATAGGAAATGTGATCAATATCATCATCTCGAGCTCGGCAATTCATTACTGGATCTTGGCTGCCTCAACAGTTTAACTCAATGTTTTCCTTTCCTTGGTAGCCTCCCTCAGTTCCATTGACCGTGGTTATCGACCATATCACTTAATCAAATTATTAAGTTTAGGTACTCGTTCGACGCACAATTTGACGTTCTTTAATTTCTTAAAGTATATGTTTTTCGCTTTGATGCAATGTTTAGTAGTAATACATAAAAAAAAAAAAATCATTTAAAACAGGATTTTTTGGCTGTAAAAAGTTTTCTCTTGGTGACCCATGTCAGAAATTAGTTTTTTACATGTCTAAATCCATATACAGGCTGTCTGGTAGATAGAGGGAAATATTTAAAGGAGTGATAGCCGAACTCAATAAATACAAAAAAGTTTATATGTTTTTATTTACATTTTCAGCAGAAAAGTAGCAAATTACAGTTTTGTGATTTTTCATGTAAGCCACGTTTTTTGTTGAATAGCAAGTGATAACAAAAAAACTATTTAATTTAAGTAATTAACGATTGCTTCACTGTAAATTGGACAAAATTTACTTTAAATAAAAATATGAGAAGGAGTTAGTCGAGGGTGCGGTCAAATAAATAATAAATTAAAATATATTAAGTTTATTTAGTTGCTTGGTAATAATAACTTCCAATTATTAACAATACGAGTATATTTTTAACGTTACATGTTAACAGTCTAGTTTACGTTTCGGGACCTTTTATTCCCATCTTAAGAACTGCAATTCCAATACTCTTGTGGATGCAAGGCTTAATTCTAATAATAATAATAATGTGCTCCATCGTCAATTTTCTAATTTATGTTCTAAAATTTATCATCTAAAGCAACATTCTCCTTTTGATCAATAATTGGGTTTATTGGGTTTTGGGTGAGAAACCCAATTATTGGTCAAAAGGAGAATGTTGCTCTAGATGATAAATTTTAGAACATAGATTAGAAAATTGACGATGGAGCACATTATTATTATTATTAGAATTAAGCCTTGCATCCATAAGAGTATTGGAATTGCAGTTCTGAAGATGGGAATAAAAGGTCCCGAAACGTAAACTAGACTGTTAACATGTAACGTTAAAAATATACTCGTATTGTTAATAATTGGAAGTTATTATTGCCAAGCAACTATATAAATTGACAACTTCCCAGGAAAAAAAGAAAAAAAAAAAAAAAAATATATATATATATATATATATATATATATTATAAAGTGTGTTTTGAAACCAGTGTTTCAACTGCCTCCCGCAGTGCTACATCCTACGCCCTGAAGACGACCTGCAAAGTGTGTCGAAACGTCGGCAAAAATTAAAATAATTAATATATTTTAATTTATTATTTATTTGACCGCACCCTCGACTAACTCTTTCTCATATTATATCAACGGTCAACCATCTCTACATCATTAAATAAAAATAGAGTTTGCTTATGTTAAAACCATTTAAAGATAACTTTTGAGGTGCTAAACTCAGCTAAGGAGTGGAGGTTGCTAGTAGTGGGGGAAGCACCTGGTACAGAGGTGCGCCCCACACTGAGAAAATTCCTGGACACTGGTTCCCTGTCCGCATAACCAAGGATCTGAACCATTCTATTAAACATTGAGCCTGCTATTTGGATTCGTGCATCTCGTACCGCTTTCTCTAATGCAATGTTGAAGAGCAGACATGCCAGCGCATCTCCCTGTACCAAGCCATTCGTTGCAAAGCTCATCTCTGACAATTTGCCCTGTACACCCACCACATACATCAATTCTGCCATTGTCAATTTAACCAATGGAATAAGTTTCTCTGAGATGTTTAGTTTCCTCATCGCTTGATAATGAGGTTCACGTAGTACACTATCATTAGTAGCTTTGAAGTCTACAATCAGGTCATGCGTATGGATGCAATACTTTCTGCTTCGTTCCAGTATAATTCGGAGTGATAAAATCTGATCAACCATTGATCTACCTTTGCGGAATCTACACCAATATTTTCCCAGCAAGCTCTCCACATACGGCAGAAGTCTGTTATATAAAATGTTTGAAAATATCTTATAAGCGCAAGGCAACAGCAATACACCTCGATAATTTCTACACTGAAGTACATCCCCTTTCTTGTGGATTGGGCATATCTTTTATTACCGGAGTTAATTCGTTTTTTATTTCCTGTATATCCATTTTAAATAGAAAATAACAAAATAAAAAAAGGACAAAATTGTGAAAACAACTGAATAATGAGAAGAACGCCCAAGTAACAAGTAGAGGACTTAGAATCACCAGTACTAAATTCTTCTGGAAGGAAATTCATAAAGAAACTTGGTTATCTCCAGATGGCTAATTGAAACTAAAAGGATTATATATTCATCAACAAAATGCATGCACCACACTTTGCAAATGTACAAAGTTACCATGGAACAGAATTCAATAGTGACCACTATTTAGTAATAATTAGTAGTAATAGTGAGTCAGTAATTAGTGACTAGCACTAGCCCATTAGCGAAAAAATCAAAACCCGTCACAAACTTATAATGTGAAAAAATTGGAGGTTGATCTATAAGGTAAGGATATGGAGAAAGCTTCAGAAATCACATCGAAAGAATAGTAGTGGAAAAGAAAACAGACGTAGAGAACAAGTGTTCATTGAAAGAGGAAACAATTTAAAAAAAGTTTCCGAAACCTTATTAGTTGCAGTGAGAGCTAAAAAGGATTGATACGAGTAGTGATAAAAAACAATTACAAGAGAAATTAATCCAAGATGAAATAGCTTCAAAGTACCAGAAAAACAAATGAAGATTGTGTTAAATTGAGAGCAACAGATGAACCTATGTAGAAAGTTAGGAGGAATCAAAGGAAGCAAAAGGATGGAATTTTGCATATGAAAAGAGAATAAGAAATTCTACTAATATGAAAAGCAACCAATTGGGTCTCAAATTCAGCTTATAATATACTCTGGACGAAGAAAGCAACATTTTAGCATAAGAAATAATTCTTGAAGGATGGCCTCAATACCACTGAAATTAATTAATGGATTCAGTCCCAGTGAACTAATCCTGGAGTACTAGAAAAGGGGAGAAGTGATGGAGGATGGAGCGCCAAACAGAGATGAATGAAAATTATGGATCAAAATAATAATGGAGCTAAAACAATAATGAAGTCACCCCGGTAATGTTAAATAGGGTGGAGGAGATGTTTGGGAGGAACCCTAATCACATAATATGGGATATGTGTATGGATGATAAAAATATTAAGAGTGCGCAGAAGATATGTGTACGGATGATAAAAATACTAAGAGTGCGCAGAAGCTATTATCAGACTTATTCATGAAAAAGGTAACAGGCTACTCTGTGATAATTACTGTACTAAATCCCTCAACACAGCTAGAACCAAAACTTGTCAAATGAAAAATAATGTAAAAACAGTCTTTAACAACTGGAAGGAACGGCAGTTCATATGAACGTTTAACAATATGACTGCTGTGTTGAGCGGTTTTACTGGGAAAATATTAAAAAATAAATAAAGACTAATTAATAAACAAAGAAAAATTAAAAATTTCAGTTTATAAATAGCTCAAGACTTTTGTGGAAAAAGTTTTAAGTTAAAATTTAATATCTAATCTTTTTGTTCTATACAAGTGGAGAACCTGAACAGCTGACTTTGGAGGTTAAAAAAAAATTAAAGTTTTCGGATATGCCTCATATTACATTTATAGTCAGTTGGCTAATTATCAATTGAACATTAGGAGCAATATAAATTATGGTAGAAATACATAAACGTGATGAAATATTTTTGAAATTAAAATTTATTTTTGTCCTCAAAAATAAACCACAAACTGAGGGTTTCAGGTCCCACAATAGGATATTTTTTGGGGACTTCAAAAATAAATCCTCTTGGACCCCAATGTTCTAGGGACACTTACTACAATTAGCTTTTATCACAATAAATCAAAACATGATTATCATGAAAACATTGCTAATCTAGGAAAGGGTGTGATTCCAATAATAAAAGAATTAATAAAAACAAAAACAGCGTACATTTATATTTAACAAAACAATTTTATAACACTATATATACATTATAAACAATAGAAAATGTAGATTCAAATAAAAATAAAGCTCCTTACAGTAATTTTTATGAAAAAAAAAAAATTAAATAAAAATAAGATAGTGTTCATGTACATGTCCTTAACTATAATAAATAATCTACATTATGTACGTATATAATCTTTTTGAAAATAATCTGATTTCATTAACTAAAAACAAAGACGTATTTCCAAAACATGACACTCCAGCCCTAAAAGGCTGCAGATCAATAATCAATATTTCATAAACATTAAGTAAGTCCATAAAATACTTTATGGACTTAATTTAGTAACATAAAATGTTACTAAATTAAGTTTAATGAAATTTCAACTATTTGTCAGGATTTGTCATTATAAAGTTCAATGAAATTTCATTTAAATAATATTTTTTTTATTTTTATTTTAAATTAAATAAGTCCTCTAAAGAGAAAATATAACCCTGAGCTTTGTTAAACAATTTGTTTTCATATAAACCTAAGTAGTCTTACATAAGTTTACACATATAATTACATAAATAAAATATTAGGATGTCCCATAAGTTCTCCTTTTTTTTTTTATGCAAAATATATAGATGATATTTGTTGTTTAAGGTTGTTTTACTGTGATATATGAACTGTTTTGCTCTGTTACCTTCTTCCATCTCTCTGTAAACATCATTATACCGTCTTTCTAAAATTGTTGAGACTTACTTCCAAAATATTCATTGAGGTGCGTTTTTATTTCGTTTTTGGATTTGTGAAATTTATCACAGAGAGGTTATTTTAATGAGAAAAACCAGCATTAATCGAATGGGACAAGGTCTGGGGAGTACGGAGGAATAAGTAGGAGGTCCCAATCAAACTGTAAATTTTTATCTTACCGCCAATACAACATTCGGTCAGAGATACAGTTTTATTGGAACATTCTACCTCATTCTACCAATATGTGAGGAGAACCGGTTCATATATAACACAGTAAATCAACCTTAAACAACAAATATTGTCTATTGATTTCACATTAAAAAAAAGGAAGAAACTTATGTGACACCCTAATATATTGGTATAAATTTATTAATCCTAGACATTCAGAAGAGCAAAGAAATATTTAGAACTATTGCATTCAATATGATACAATGATAAATTATAGTAATATTAAACTAGTATATAAAATACACGATCCTGATAAGTTTAATGGGTATCCAATCATTAATATCAATCATAGATTGATTAATTATTGAAGCATAATTACTGCAAACAAAACTTTGTAGCAAAGTCATAGCGCACTGACAATTAAACAAATACAATATTTTTAATACTTTACATGACCTTATATATGTATAAGTAAATTATATAATACTTATAAGACCATCAAATAAAGTTATTTATTTGGATTAAAAAAGAAAATCAGCCATATACTGAATGTAAACCCACAAAACCAAAAAAAAAGTTGATAATTTTTATTTAAAAATGAAATTTCATAACTTAATTTTATTAAAGAAATATTATACAAAACAAACAATTTATTTTAGTCTTTTAAATGCTTTCCATAGAGATAAAGAATAAAAGAAATTTTATTGCACAATACAAATGACTAATCTAATTAATTCAATCTTTAATTTAATTTATATTTATTCCATTTTGTAAACATACATAGTTACTAACAATAAAGAGAGACATGTAAGTTTTTAACATAGAAAAGAAATATTATATAATTGTAAACATACAATTATTTATGTATTCATTAAATCAATAGTATCTTTATCTAGTTTCATTTTAACATTACTAATATTATATGTAAAATTATTACATTCATTTAACCTTCGATTGGGCAATTGAGAATATAAGATACATTACACTCACATCACAAGAGAAAAGATATTGTTTTAACTTTTTTCTCAAAAACTTGGGAAGTTTTAATTTCAAGAAGTGCAGAATTGTGTCTCATAACAAGGAAAATATAAGAATCCCATACTAAAATATAATTACCTACACTGCACAATGAATGCAATTTCTGAAGAAAATTACCCTCAAGAGTCATCAATGACAAAAAGGTATTTAATCTATTTATAGAAACAGCCATCACACAAAAATTAAGATTTCTTAAATGAAGCAAAAATTTATACGCTGTGATGGTCATTCATGCAAGGCAATAGAAAATTAGGTTCATAAGACAAAAGAATTTCATACCTTCTTATCCTCTGTTCTAAACATTACTAGTGGGGGTAATAAATTATAACAGCAAATTAAAAATATTAATAAACAATTTATATTCCTGCAACATAGGAATAATCTTGGGTTCAGTATTTAATAAGAGAGTACTACTTCCAGGCACATTGTGCAAGGTCATTAGGTCAGAATCACGCTTAACTGCCAGGTTTTCTCTTCAATTAAGAGAACTAACTTTATAGAGGCTAGGTGTGCCCAGTTTGATCCACAGCTGATGCAACAAAATAAATAATTATACATCATAACCAGACTGGATCCTGGGCAAGTGAGAGGACAGCTGCATATTACTTTACTTACTGAGCTACTCAGAGCAATTTTATATCACAGAAAAAAATACAAGAAATAAGTTACAAAATATCAGCAATTGAAAAGAAAATAGGACCAAAATATCAAAGCTGTCACGTTCATTGAAACTGATTTTATAATCAATATTGTGTTATAATACAATGGTTGATATGATATCAAATGCATTTGGGAAATATTACGAATTAATAAAGTATTTTTCTCCCTTAAGCAAAGAATATAAACATTTCTTTATAAGAATAAATGTGATACAGAGTTAACTCATAGAAATGTAATCTTGTTCTTCATTTTATATGAAAAGAACCTACTACAGCAATAATTTCATTTCCCTCTTTTTTAAATAAATAAGGCTCCTTATTTTAAGGAAAACTAGAACAAAAATAAGAATGAAGTACTTTATTTAATTTTTTTTTTTTAAAGCTACAGTAAAAAGATGAAAAAAAAAAATTACTTCAAGTAGATACTTAAAAAAAGCCTTCTCGAAGGTTAAGGAATTAAAATGTTTATCCGATTGAATTTAAAAACACATTTTTTTGTTACATTATACTATCCAAAAACAACCATTTTGTTTTTGAAATGATATGGATTGACTAATTCTTTACAACTATAAACATTTCAGAAACACATATTGGATGGAGTGTGTAGCCATGGTAATACGCCATTGGTCAGGGGGAAAAAGTGTACATCTAAATCTCTGAGCTAAAAGTGAATATGGTACTGTGTAAAGTCTAAGACCTCCTTATTTCTTCACTGTCAGGCTTATTTCCTTCAGTTTCATTCTGTAGCTTCCTCCAATGGTCTTCTGTGATCCCAAGAGCTTTTGCAAAATGGTCATCAACTGAAAAAAAATGAATAAAAATAAAGCTAACAGAAAATCAATGAACAAATATAAAAAAGTGAAAGTTTTTATGTTAAAAAATAGCTAGTAATGAAGCATGAAGTATACCTATTTATTTATTTTTCAACCCTCCCATGCCACCAGGGCAATATTTGTGTTTGCAGCAGTATGTATAATAACACACTACTGCAATTATATCAGTTTACAAAATTCAAAGCTGTGCACACAGCTAGCTCTTTTACTTTTCCTCATTCTCATCTTTATTTTTCTTCAACAAATTAGGCCTGGCTTTCTGAACCCGGAGGTTTTCCTGGCACTGGTCCTCTTCTTCTGTGGGCACCTAGATTGAAGTGAGCTGGACCCACCGCCGTCTTGCAGCCATTTATGAAGTATTTGAACCGCATGCAGTTTTCTTCACTTACCAACTGAGGAAAGTACTCCTCAGTGAGGACATAAATTACCGTGGTTCTCATCAACGTGGCTCTTAATCCGTCAAAAGCAGTGCAGGCCGTGACCACATGCTCAACTGTGTCCGGAACAATACAAATGTGGCAGTGGGGATATATATCCTGTGAAGTTAAGCTCTAAAACCCCCATGTGCAGTGAGAAATTCAATAGTCCGGCAGGATCGTTTTTGCCTGTAACCAAAATTGAACAGTGGAAAGGTATTTTCTTAAGGTTCTGTCTTTCGCAGTTGTCACCCACCATCTGCTCCAATCTTCAATTGTTTCTACCAGGTTTATCTCTTTCCATTTATCTGGGTTTTCAATAATCCTCATCAGCAGGTTCTCCCAAAGAGCTGTTGAGCACTCCCTCTTGTAATCCTACCTGGTCACTTCTTCTCGCAAGAAGAGGTTGAGAAGCACCACCACCGCTAAGACCTGTACTGCTACATGCGATGGAGACCTAGCTCTGGTGACCCAAAGCAGAGCAGTCCTCTTGGTCGATGCTAGCCTATTTCTTTGCCTGAGTGTGAGGTTTCAGAACCAGAAGGGAGATGCATTACTCTGGATACCCTCCACACACCTTTATAAATAGTGATTGTGGCTGGATAACCGAGGCCCAAAAATGTGCAACCCCCCACACGATTCACCGTTCATTGCTAGGGACACCCTACCTGCCATATATTCCAAATGAGGCATCATATTCCTCCTATCCACCTAACTCCTAGGTAGATTACCACCTCACTTGGACGTATCCTCTGGCCTTCTATGTACATCATTATAAGGTGTGCCCTATCAGTCTTTCCCTGGCTTGAGTCTTGGCAGAAGCCATCCTCATCTTCTTCCCCTCACACCATCTTCTAGCGACTAGGCCGGCGCATCGCTCTGCTTTTCTTTGGAGCCCAGCTCTGTGGTTGGAGGACACCACAGCAGCTAGGCTGTCAATGTAGGCAGTGACAGGAAACCACTCTTCCTCTAACACTCCCAGTAACTCATCAAAGACTAGATTCCATAGAGCAGGGTCTCTGATCTCTGAGGGCAACCTCTCTCTATGGAAGCTTCTACCTTCTAATTGCCTCTAATCTTCACAGTTTTATCCAGTAGGTAACTTCTTACTAGAGTGTATGTATTACTGGGAGCATCGTACCTCTGCAGCTGCTGGAGCACGCTAGGCCACCATACACTGTCGTAGGCGGAGGATAAGTCGAAAAATATGACATACCGCTCCACCCTCTCCTCAACATCTCGCTCACTCTCAGCAGGGCATCAGCGGTTACTCTGCCTCAGGTTAATCCATATTGCTGTGGATCAATTGCTTTAGCAAAAACAGGTTGTAAACTGGTCATCATGAGGTTTTCCAGGACCTTGCTAATCACAGGGAGGAGACATGCAGGTCTATATGAATTAGGGAGTTGTTTGTCCCTATTCCCTCCCTTGTAGGGGAGTCCCAAATCAGCAATCTTTTATCTTGTTGGAAAGTATCCCATATCCAAACATTCACTGAAAATTCTCAACAGACGTTCTTCAATATGCGGGATACTATTCCTCAAGATCGCTGCATCTATTGCATCAAGTCCTGGAGCACAATTAGTTTTCTGCTTATCTACGGCAATACGAATAAAATACCTATTTATAATTTTCACCTCATGAAATATACTGTAAATTTAATTATAAATACATTGAGTGGTGGTGTCAAATATGCATCAATGGCATGTTCCCTTCGTTGCAGCTAATGTGTCAGGGCATTTAAGATGCTATCTACCTATATATACTATTGTAGTCAAATTGAATTGAAAGCTTACAGGTAACCAAAAAACTTGACTGCCTAGAAATAGCCACTCTTCTCTAACTAGAGTGAGAGTCACTAGATTCATTTCTTGGACTTTCTCACTATTTTCAATTTTCTGTTTGCAATATATTTTGTTAATTCCTTCACAGATATTTAATTTTAAATTAAAAGTCATTTTATGTAAAAAAAAATATAAGTCTGGGTACTGAAAAAATACATAATTTAAATATAAGAAAGAATATAAGAATTTATCTATATAAGAAAAAATAAAATCGGGGATTATTGTGACTAAATGCACTAATTTTGAAAGATAAATGCTTACAAAAAAAAATAGGCCAACTAAATATGCAATTGAATTAAAACCATCAATCTGATGATGATGATGAATATTAATAAAAAAATCATAAAACAATTACCAGAAAGTGAAGAAGTATCTGTTTTTTCGAAAGAATCACTGGTATCACCTTCCTCTGCAGAACTAAGGTAATCTTTACCAAGTGACCTCCTGAAATGTTCGTCAATCATTGGGTCACAAACTCCACCACAATCTGTAACTAATAGTCAAAATAAAAAATTAATCAAATTAATGTTTAAAGAAATTAAATAGAGAGGCATTGGTGGCAGTCTACTAAAGTTGCCACCTTGGCGATCTATAATAGTTTCCAATTAATTATTTTATTGTTCAATTGTGGGTTGATGGTTGACTGTAGTGAATAATGAAGAGAAGGGTAGCTGGGGTGATCAGTCAAAAATAAATAATAATATTTATTTTAATATTTGCCTACGTTTCCACCTGAAGTTCAGCCCTGATGAAGGCCTGAACTTCGGGTCAAAAAAGAAAAAGAAGTTAAAAAAGAAAAACAAACAAAAGTTTTGTTGTTACAAAGAACCTCGGACAATTTATATTCATATATCAAAGAAGTGTATAGTAAAATAATGCTTCTTTCTTAACTTACAATTACAGCATTAGTTTAATATTTGTGCCCTAGATTGTGGCAGATTGTATCATTTTTCTACAATAAAAATTCTGTGTAGAGTAAAAAAAAAAGTTTAATATTTAGCGATGAATGATTTATAAGTACAAATATAATCATTTAAATCAATTCAAATTGAAATTATTTATTTAAACAAATTGGTACTCTTTGTATTCAAACCTTTATCTTGTTCAAATAATTTTCAATTATAAGTTGATAAGAAATAAAAATTAATGACCAAAATGTAAACTACCTGTTCGATTTGAAGTATTTGTGGTAATGACAGTGGTTCTTGCTTGCTTTTGGTTAGCAATCGTTTGAGAATAAGATGGTGGTGAGCCTCTCAATTTCCTCGTGGACAAATCTATAGGTTCCCTGCTAAAAAAGTCAAAAACCTCTTTAATCTTGAGTTTAAAACAATATATATCAAATATGTATTAATTTTATAAGATTTAGGATTGAAATTGTTAATGAAATTGAACCCTGTATTAATGAAAACTCTGTTGATGAGGCCATTCTTCAATTGTAAAGATTAAAATACATTATCGTTTTTAAGAAAAATTGCTGATTAACAAACAATATAAAACGAAAATCAAGCTACCCAAAACTATTATTATAAGCGAATGCTTTAATTTCAAAGGCGATCAACCTTGTTATTGGGTTGTCCAGAAAATAATGCAGAATTTTGAATTTTCTTTAAAATACTCCTCTATATGTTTACGTTTACTGAATTATTCATTTGTATGAATGTCAACAATTATTAATCCTCTACCAAACGATAATGTTTGTTTACCTCTGTAGCATTTCGCTGCTTAGAAATAATTCAGTCTTTACAAAGATGTCAATACATGATTTTCGAATAATTTTGTTTTACAAGTTTATAGTCGGCCAGAATGGGGTCCTGATGGGCAGAAAAATCAATCAAGTCTGGGCGAGAGCACCATTAATGAGTGCACTGTTCAATGGTGGCTCAAAAAATTTTGAGAGGAAGACTTCAGCCTTGAAAACAAAGGTCATGGAAGGACTTCCTCTCTTGATGACGAACTTCTGTTGACTTCAGTTGAAGAAACCCCAGAACAACTGTTTGAGAACTTGCAGGGAAACTTAACCTTAGCAAACAACCATCGATAACCATATCAAGGCGATGGGAAAGGTAAAAAAGCTTGAAAGTTGGGTTCCACAAACATTAAACGACACCCAAAAAAACCAGTGTTATGAAGTTTGTGCTAAACTTCTTTGCCGAAACAAAAATGACCCTTTTCTGTTCAGAATTGTTACGTAAGATGAAAAGTGGATATTTTACGATAACAGTAAATGTTCTGAACAGAGACTTGACAAAGGAGAAGCAGCAAAACATTTTCCAAAGGGCCCCAGCTCATTAAAAAAAAGTGATGGTTACTGTTTGGTGGGCTTCATTTGGTTTGATATACTACAGCTTCTTAAATCCTGGAGAAACCATCAATGACGAATCGTATTGTAAGCAAATTAATGCAATGTATCAGAAATTGGCAATAATGAAATCATCTTTGGTCAATTGGAAGAAGCCTATTTTGTTGCATTACAACACCCGGCCAAATATCTCACGTGTTACTGTGAGCTTGGATATAAAACTTTGCCTACTCTGCCCTACTTTCCGGATCTCTCACCTATAGATTATCATTTTTTTTAGACACCTGGACCACTTATGTGAAAAAAAATTTACTGAACAAAGGGAATTAGAAAATGGGGTTTTGGAAATTTATCAATTCTAAAGATGGGAAATTCTATTCCGAGGGAATGGAAAAGTTGCCAACATGTTGGTAGAAATGTATTGATATTATTGGAGACTATTTTGATTAAATAAAATAGTTATAAATCTTTCTTTTTAAAACAAAATCCTGCATTATTTTGTGGACCATCCAATATTTATTCTTTTTAATTATCATTTTAGATATTAAGTTAAATGAATGGAACTTTTAAAAAAACTCACCCTATCCGAGGGAAATGAGTTGAGTAGTCAGGCGGGTCTTTTCGATGCCTCTGCCGCCTCCATTTTCCACCAGCTTCTTCTCTACATTTTGAAAGCCTTGCTTCATCTGTAACATATATTTCATTTCATAAGGGATTGATAAATAATAATCTTACACTGACAATCTTGATTCTAAAACAATTAATGTTTATTGTAGATTTAATTTTGGCAAAATATTTCAGCTATTAATAAAATTTAGGCATTAGAACAAACACAACTGGAGGTTAAGATCTAATAATTAGGGGGAAAAGGTGAGCCTTATGAACTGTACAATGTCATTCAGCCAACAATTCAATTAAACCTTTCTATGGTGGCACCGACAATTCATATTAATTTCTTAAATATTTTTATTTCATCATACATTGAAATGATAGATAAGAGCCTAAGCATTCTTTTTTTGGGAAGCCATGAATTAGTTATATTCATGTGGCTTAAAGTAACAAAAGGTCAAAGTTAGCATGAGCATGCAATTAAGAAGACTATATATGTACCTAGTCCTGTCATAAATATTGTTACAAGAAAATATATACAGATTTAAACAGAAAAATTAATCTTTTAAAAACTTTATTAAAAAATAAAATGTAGATCTATAGAGAGCAAAACAAAACAGAAATTACTCAAAATGTCCCCCTTTTGCCTTGACACAGGCTTTAAATCTCAGCAGCCAGTCATCAATAGCAGTACTTCTTGAGGAAAACATTTAAATGCTCGGACCAGAAATTGTTGAGGCTTTCCAAGTTAGGATGTGCAAGTCTGTGGCATGCTGGAAAACCTAATGACTTCCAGCAAACAGAGTATCGTTTAGAGGCTTGACAACAGGTTTTAACTCCCTTTTCACAAAAATAAAGCTTTGTGGTGCCATCAAAGCAAACTCCAAAAATAGAGCTTTGCGGTGCCATCAAAGCAAACGTCCCACTAAACCATCACTGAGGAAGGGTGATGACCTCTTTTCACTCTTCTAATGACTTCCTGGCCTTCTTTAGAGCTGTGTGCGTACACACAATCATTTTGGCAATTAAATTTTTCTTCAATAGTAAAAATTTTCTCATCGAAACAAAATCTTTTGATGAAGACTGTTTAGGGAACACATCATACTTAATATTTGAATTACATCAAGTAAGCACAACACAGCTGTTATACTGCATATATACATCAGTCATTGTTGTGACGCCGCCATTGTTGAAGCGTAGACGCTCACGTACCGTGATTGACTAGACTGGCCAGTTGAAAATTTTGTGATTCCACTGATTTATTAAACATGGAGTAAAACACTACAGCGGCCGGCAAGGGGCCAAGAAAGGAAGAGAGGGAAGATGAACGAGAAGACTGGCACAACAAAAAAAAGAAAAAATGCAAGTATCCCAACCCACCTATATTTAACCTCCTTATAAAATACATGTAATAAAATATAGCAATCAATTTTACTCATTCACTTCTTTAATCCTTTAACTCCTCTAATTTTACAGTCCACAGCAATAAATTTTTACCAGCTCTTAAAGCAGAATTATTATGACAATATCCCTGACAGTCTTGGAAGGGATTGGCATAGTAAAGTAAACAAAGACCATTGCTGTAGCGACCAAGAATTTTTAGCATCAATCCACTCTTTTTACATTTATCTTTTTTTTAGGGAAGTGGTTTGCCTTTGTCCTGCCATTCTTCGAAATGCACCCATCCTAAGGTCACTTTTTATTATGTGAGACATTGATCTGATAGAGATTCCCATTTCCCAAGATATGATTTGTTGTTTTCGAATGGGATTTCTACTGATTCGAGCAGCCACTGCTCTCACTGCAGTTGCCGTTCTTACAGGGCGGGAACGTCTGTCACATACGGATAGGGTCTCATTATATATATTTATAGTGCGGTACACAAACATACGGCTGATACACAAAGGTCTCAAAGTGTTGAAAATCTCTGACTTACATTTTCCAACTTTGTGGTAGGCGATCATAGCTATTCGGTTTTCTTCATCACCCCACTCCATGTTAACTGAGTGAAAGAAAAATACAAACTAATTGGGATTATTATCCTAACATGTAAAGAAAATAACCTGATAGAGGTAAGGATTATCTAAATAATATTCAAAGATGTAAACAAAGTTCAACTTTTCTAAAAGTATTTATGGTAGAACTAGGTATATCCTGTGGAAGACTTGAAACTAAGAAGAGATCCCTTAACATCCTTTTCTAAAAATAAAAGCAATGATTTGTATGATAGGTGTCCTTGGATGAGGAAGTGGAGGTGTTAGCAAAATAAAACTGATAGCACCTGTTGCAGGCATAAAATTCCTTTTTGGAACAGCATAAAACAGGCAATGAGACACTGTCAGGGTTAGAGGAGACATGCTACTTCTAGTTCTATTTATCATATATTATATTATACCAAGACAGTAAGTCTAATTATCATAAAACTTCAATTACATGAAGCCCAATACATCAGAGGAAAGAGAGGAGAAATGATAATTGTATAGGAATATTTAATTCTCACACTAATAATTTAACATACCAGGGACTCAGAGTAAATAAAACATTGACTTTATGGTATCTGGGACCAGGGAAGACCAACTGTGAGTAGCAACTGACTAATTTAATCTTCTTCACATCCATAACTAGTTAAGGGAAACTGGAGGTAAACTTTTAGATGGACTAGATAGGAAGAAGATATGATCTATCTTTTATTTATTTTACTTGGTAGCTCTTAAGTAATAGTTGAAACTTATAGATGGACTGGAATAGCGACATAATTAATTTTAATTTATGTTAGAGTATATATTTGAAAAATAACTAATGATGTAATGTCAGTACATTTTTATGTTAATGGTTATGTTAGGTTGGCAATAATACAACCTCCATGAATCAGTTCACTTGGTATACTCAAAAACGAATCAAAAATGAAAAAAAGAATTATATCTAGTGCAATAAAAATAACAGAAGAAATGAAACGAAACAATTCAAGGAATCTAAATATTAAAAAAATATATCGATATCATAATAATCTTTGAAGTAATGACATATCAAATAAAAATGTTAATACATACAGTATCAATTTTTATTAGATATCATTTGGAATCGGGATTGATAAATACCTAAATCGATATTTTGAACATCGAATTTTTAAAAGAAGGGGAACAGAATCAACAATGAATTGAAGACTTAGATTTTTAATAGTGAAAAATTAGATATTTATATACTGATTACAAAAAGTATCAATTTATCAAGATTTCTCTAAAAAAACTAGAAACAGAAAAAATCAATTAAATGAATTACTAAAAACCTATAGAAATATTAACAATTATTAATAAATAGAATTTTTATAACGAATATAGAAAAAATGAAGAAAATCAAAATTGAATTAATTATGCTATAATAATTAATTCTAATAATATTTATGTATGGATACATAAAATATGATAGTAGTATAATGTTTTTCAAACATCCCAAATTAATTTATTGATTTTCATTGTCTCCTCGAGCATAAATGCTGAAAATGAATGCCTCATTTCAATAATTTTATTCAACAAATTTTGAAAAATCCACCAGATACTTGGCCCCTGTGAATAATTCAAATTTGATAAGGGTGCCCAGAAGGTTGTTACATGGTGCCAGATGCACCATCAAATTTTTTTGAGGGAGTACACATTACAGGGTTATGAATTTAGATGATTTTTGAATAGTTTAGTATAATAGCTGAGTTCAGAAGCTGTACCACTACAACACATGATGGGTGGGTTTGGGGTTCAATACTGATTAAGGAAGTTCTGTTCCAACCCCAAAAATTGTGCCCAAATCACGCTCAATTACCAGGTTTTATCCCTTAATTAATTATTAAATTAATAGAACACAGTTTACAGAAGCTCAGCGTGCCCCAAGAGGGTCTACTGACCCTAGGATCGATCCATGGCTGATAAAACGGAATAAATAATTACTGGAACTTCGAACCTAGAGTTCTAAAAGTCAGTGCCTTATTATCTGAGTTATCCCCTTTCCTATAGAATAAGAAAACCTTCCATAACGTCATGAGTATAATATACCATAAAATGTATATTTTTATAATTTTACGCAAATGAAGTTTTCTTTTTTAATAACTATTTGTCTGGTTCTTTGGATTTGATGAAGAATTAACGAAGATATGGCGAACTGACAAAAAATCACCCTTGAGAAATAGTATATAAATATATTATTAATATCTTAATTCAATAGATAGATCCGTTTAGTATTAAGGGATCTTTTTACAAGAATTAATATTAAGAATCAATATCAAGGTCATAATGCTGTAAATAAATACCGTAAAATAAGACACACAACCTCAGTTGTGGAGTAAGAAAAAATACAAATACTTTTACATTGGGATTAGCTACAATCATTTAGCTGGAACAAAGGAGAGATAAAGGCCTACTAGAGAACATAGTACCAGCTTGACAACTATACTACCCGTTACAAAAACACAATACTCCATTCATGCTCCTAGCTTGTTTACATAACTGAAACATTGAAATATCACAACAAACGGCGATAAGGCATTAACGAATTGCCATCAATTAAACTATACAGCGGCTATACTACATTTTGTACTTATAAATAGTATTATTTTATAAGTAATTTTGAAGTTAATTTGTATGTAAGCTTAAATTTAAAATATAACCGGTTATTTAATATTAAATAACATTATTTACATCGATATATTGTAAATAACCGTTGATAGAATGTAGTCAATTTTTAAGATGGTGTTAGAGTTCGATTAGCAATAATAAAACCGCTTCAATAGGTTTTGTAAATGGCAAAACGAATAAAAAAAGTCAGCTAAAAAAATAAATCAGAGTTTTCACGCCATCTTTATTGGGCACAACATAATTAACACGCAAATACTTTACTGATATAGTTTTATTTAAAACAGGATAGAATAATCTAATAAAACCATCTAATAAGCAACATCAATACTTACATGATGTACATTATCCCCAAAATTTACTTCAACTTTAGGTTGAATTGGTTAAGATGTATTTGAAATAAATGCATATAAATACGTTTGGGCATACATAAACGCAATTAGGAGATACTAATCCATAACTATTCTCCAATTTTAAGCCAAATTGAACGAACCATATCATAGGCATATCATAAACGTTTGCTCATTCAGAAGCGGACGAAGTGACTGACGATATAGGTGATTTCCACATCACATAGACAGCCCCGAAACCAAATTTGTTCCTAGTCTAAAAAGTCAACTGCGAGTGGAAATGTTCGATTATGAGCACATTTTTTTTTCTTTAACCCTTCACTTAAGTATAAAGTTTTCCAACCTTCTCCATTGAGGAAGCAAAAGTTTAAACATCATATTTATTATATTAACTAAATAACAGAAGAAATCAGAAGAATAAACGGAATTTAACCACCTACTAGAACAATGTCCTAAACGTAAATAGATAAAGTAACAAAATCTAACAGTAATGATATATATATACATAAAAAAATGATATTAATGAATTGAATATTGATGTTTAAAAAACAAGCAATGGTGAGTGTAATCCTTGTTTTTTCTATCCTCATTATACCTGAATAGCAAGCTAACTGTTTACTTGCACGTTAGAGAATCATAGCTTTATAGTTTAGATTGTTCTATTAATATCTCTTTTCGAGATTTTTTAGTAATTATTTGGGAAATTTAAACATTTTCTTAGATATTAATTAAATATCTTATAAACCTTAAAAATTAAGGTAAACGAAGAAACGTCCAAAAATAAAATTCATATCAATGTTTATTATCAAGTCTAATCTAAATAAAAGAAGAATATATATATATATATATATATATATATATATATATATATATATATATATATATATATACAGGGTTAAGTAGCCAAACTGAATTAAGGACCTCAAAACAAGAAAAAAAAACTTATGAAGGTATATCCGCAAACGCTTTGTTAAGGAGATATTCACACCTAAAGATTTTCATTATCATTAATTATTTACGTTATATTAAGTAAATAAAACTTATTTATTTGTTCCAACTACTTTATTAATTAAAGGTAAACATTAAATGTTTTTCAAAGTGGTTTCCTTGAGCATTAAGAAAGACTTGGCATCTTTCTTCAACAGCAGCAGTGGCAGAACGGCACTGGATATGTGTTATTTTTTCACAAGATTCAATTATCCTTCTTCGTAAGGAATCAAAGTCATTGACCGGACTTGCATAAACTTTTTGCTTAATGTCACCCCGAATAAAAAAATCCAGTGGTGTCAGGTCTGGAGAGCGTGCAGGCCAAGCCACTGGTCCTGCATGGCCAATCCATTGATAGGGATAACTAACATTTAGCCATTGTCGTGGACCTCTTCCGTAATATGCAGGACAACCATTTAATTGAAGCCACATGTCCCTTCTCAGTACTAGTGGAATATTGCATGCTTTCATTTATTTCATATAACGTAAATAATTCATAACAACGAAAATATTTAGGTGTGAATATCTCCTAAACGAAGTGTTTATATCACCTAAACATACTTTCAGAGGAATTTTTTTGTTTTGTTTTGGGGTCCTTAGTTAATTTTTGCAGTTTGGCCACCTAACACTGAAATACGCTGTATATAATTAAATAATGAAGCAGCTCCATTAATGAATAGAATATTAAGAAAAGATAACAGTGTATTAGCAAATATTTACAACGGAGGGATCTACGTTAATTGAATTGCTGAATAATGGCAAACAGTCTCATTGATATTTGTTGTTGAAACAATACCGTAACAGATAGACGAACAACCACATCAACAGAATAAATGAAAGAATAAAAATAGAAAAAAAAGAAAGAAATTATACACACACACACACATAATCACCTAGTGCATACAATCAAGCCGGGACGTGAAATTATTTCGAGAGACGTGCCTCGAGGATCGACATTCACACCATAATTGTTTCTTATGCTCTCGAATAACTTCAGGAATTCATGAAACCATTCTGAGAGTATTCAGCCTGGAGAAGGAAAGCTTTGTGTGTTAGAATTAAAATATAAAGTAGCTAACTAAACATTATAAATTAAATTCTTCCAGTTTAAATAAATAGTATTCACATATGAAAAACAACCTTACTTGAGTTATTAATTTTTTGTGATATTTTTTATATAATTATTATATTAAATCAATACATGATTAGGTTTTTATAAAAAAAAAACTTTTAATCCCACAAATTTTTATTTTAAATAAAGCATCTTTGTAACAAGAATTTTTATTTTAACGTTATTATCTTTATTATTTAATATATATATATATATATATATATATATATATATATATATATATATACTACTCAAAGACAGTTATTGTTTAATATAAAATTGTTTGTTGTTTTTTGTTCTTCCCAAATTCCACTAACAGAATTTTTCTCTCCTCATTTTATAAGAAAATAAACACACTTTTCCTTTTTTTTTTTTATTCCTT